CACCGCCGTGATTTGAACTGTATCGGTGTGTTTTCATAACCACGTCGGCCAGTTCTCTGTTTCGTAAATATACTTCTAGTCCGGTCGGTTGTCTCCTGACCAGCGTGGCGCAATCTACGAAACTGCAAAATCGAACCCCCGAGGAAACAACAATGTGTCGTACATGTACCTATAATAACGGCGCTTATACCTTCGCAATGAGGCTGGACCTTAAAGTGGTGCGGTGGTTTGCGTGCTTCAGAGATCCATTGAGCTGTGCTGGGTGGTGCTTTTATTGCACCTTCAGAGCCACTCAGACAAGACTGGTCAATGGTTAGAAGCTAGACAAACTCAGCCTCCAGGTCCTCCAGGTTGGGAGTTGAAATGAGAGTGACTCCTCATTTCATAAAACGGGCTCTCTGTAGCCTAGTGCCAAAACCCGCTGCCTTGCGGGAAGGTTTTTGAACCAAAGGCTTTGGTTGAGAACCCTAATCGTTCTCCTGTCTAGGCCTGGGCAACCTGACAGTATTCTACCCACGCAATACAATGAAACTTTCCTACAACAATTTCTTGATGCTCTGGCCGTCGCAGAGGATAATCAACGGCGCCCTATCTGCTGCATCGAGCACGGTGGATAGGGGTATGGATGCTACTGCTCAGGCCTTCCCGTATTCTTATACCCCTTCTTGCGATTCTTCATCCTTATCGTCCCGCTCCAACTTTACTTATATCCACCCCAATTTCAATCCCTCAATTCTTGTCGCTCCCCCAGCTTACTTCAGTAGTCGCTTGTAATCTAATTACAAATCAAACACAATCGCACTGCGTCGCCCCAATCCAGTCGACAAGTCCATGTTCAACCAAGCGGACAACGTCAGTTCATCCGTTTCCCTTTGGAGTCCTCGCGTCTCGCTAAGACTGGCATGCCTCAACGTGCGTACTTTGCTGCAGATTGGCCAACAGGCAGCACTTGCCCGCACATTAGAGACCCTATCGATCGATACTTGCTGTTTATTGGAAACCCGCCTGCAAGAATCGAGCTCCGTGCTTACCCTGAGATCCCCCACATGCGACACTGGCGGCACATTCTCATTGCGCCTGTGTGACGATGATGCAGCCTCAAATACCGGTCAAGCTGGCGTCGGCATTGTTTTGAGTCCCCGGGCTGAAGCAGCCCTGATTGATTGGATCCCAGTAAACAGTAGGATGTGCGCCGTTAGATTAACTGGTCCGTTCCGCGCGGGGACAAACGGTGCCTGTTTGTCATTGCGGCCTACGCCCCTACAAACTGTAGCACTGATTCGGTAAAAGATGATTTCTATCAGCAACTTCACGAGCTACTTCGTTACAGAAGAAGCACGGATACTGTGGTGTTGGCTGGCGATCTAAACGCCCAAGTCGGAAAATTGTCCTCTGATGAGCTTCATCTGGGCGCCCAACATGGTGTAGGCTCCCGTAATGATAATGGTGAGCGATTGCTACAGCTGTGTGAAGATGCTCGCCTCTTTCTCGCGAGCACTAACTCTCGACACAGCACCCGCAGAAGCTTGACTTGGCGGCCACCAGCCTCGGGCCAACCATGGACGCAAATCGATCATATCGCGATCAGTTACCGCTGGAGAGGCTGTGTCCAAAATTGTCGCTCGATTTGGAGCACGAGCGTGGACTCTGACCACGCACTTATCTGTTCCGAAATCCTGGTGCGTTTCGGTGGACGTCCGCAACGTCGATGTGAACGAACTGACACCAGCCAGCTGGCGAAGCCAGATGTTCTGAATGTGTATCAAAGTGCGCCGACATCGGAGTTGAGTAAGCGCCCACTAAACACCGTTGAAGATCACTGTTCGCATATTCGCCAAGCGTTGCTGTTAGCAGGCATGTCTTGAAGTGGCAAAGCAAATTGCCAAACCGGACATTGGGTCTCTACAGAGTCTCTAGAACTTATAGACGCTCGCCGACGTATTCCGGCTGGAAACGAATACAATGAGGCTCGCAAAAATCTCAGGGCAAAACTACGGGCTAGCCTGAAGAAGGACCGTAAAACTAGGTGGTCTCATCGTGCCTCTGAGATGGAAACAGCCACTACCGTTGGCAATCATCGTAAGTTATTCCGTCTGATAAGGGAAACAGGCAGCAGGAGACCTGGTGTTGGCGAGACCATACGCGACGAGAGTGGGCAGCCGATCCACAGCCTGTCAAAACGCTTGGAATGTTGGGCTGAACACTTTGTAAGGCAGTTTAACAAACCTGAGTAACCGCTTTCTTCTTCGGGTATTGAGCGCCCTGCTCCCTGGGCTGTCTCCTTGGATCCGCCACCACGCGCAGAAGTCGAATATGAGATCAGGCTGTTGAAATTGCACAAGGCCGCAGGGGCAGATAGAATTCCCCCAACCCTCTTCAAATTCGGGGGACCTGCTCTAGTAGATTATTTACACGAGTTGCTAGTAAAACTTTGGGAGCAGGAGACAGTCCCGACAGACTGGAACCGCTCCGTCATTGTCCCAATTTTCAAGGGCAACTCCCGTTTGGAATGTGGCAATCATAGAGGGATCAGTCCGATTTCGATTGCCTCTAAATTGCTTGCCTCTGTCATTCTCCACAGACTGGCTGGTACTCGTGAAAGCCAGATTCGTGAAGAGCAAGCCGGAGTTCGTCGAGGTCGGGGATGCATCCACCACATCTTCACCTTGCGTCAAGTGTTGGAGCACCGCCATGTTTATTGGCGACCCACCATTGTCGTGTTTCTTGACATTAAAGGTGCCTTCGACTCAGTCGATCGACGTGTCCGTTGGGACTGTCTGCTGAGGAAAGGTGTGCCTGATAAATACTTAAACATTATCAAAGCGCTGTACGCGCATGGTTCGGGCAGAGTGAGGGTTTATGGCAAACTCTCGCCACCCTTCAGTATCACCAGCGGTGTGAGACAAGGTTGCCCGCTGTCACCTTTCCTCTTCAACTTCGCTATTGATGAAGTCATGGAAACAACGTTCGCTGGACACAACCTACAAGGTGTGGAGCTACTTCATGGTGAGCGACTTCTTGACTTGGAGTATGCGGATGATATTGCCCTAATCTGTGACAGCTCCCAAACATGCCAAACAGCACTGGACCGATTAGCACTGGCTGTCAATCGTTTTGGACTATGCTTTGCTCCATCGAAATGCAAAGTACTTATCCAAGATTGGCAGGGACCCAACCCTGCGCTAACGCTTGGTAGTGATTAGCTGAAAGTCGTTCAGGAATTCAAGTACCTGGCCAGGTATATTAGCACCCGTGGGAACGAAGATGAGGTTATGAACCGTATAGCAAAAGGTCGAGGTGCTTTTGCCAATCTCCGCCACCTGTGGCGCAGACGCGACATTACTCTCGCCCTGAAGAGCAGAGTTTACACCGGAGCCGTCCATTCAACTCTCCTATATGGTTGTGAAACCTCGCCCATCAGGTCGACAGACATAAAGAGGCTCGTCATATTCGATCATCGCTGCCTTCGCAGCTTAGCTCATGTCTGGTGGGAGTATCGCGTGAGTAATGAGCGTGTTTGGCGTCGCGTATTTGGTGCAGGAAGAGCGAGTGAACCGCTCAGCACCACTATATCACGCAACAGGCTCCGATGGCTGGGCCACGTGTTGCGCATGCCAGCACACCGACTCCCGCGACGTGCATTGTTTGCGCGTTGTGGGTGCGGTTGGAAGAGGAGGAGGGGAGGCCAAGTGATGACTTGGTCGAGAGAAATGAAAACCCTCACTTCGAAGTTGGTGTCGGTTGGTGCATCCCGACTGCCTGGCTGGGGTCCCAAGGACGGTGAACACGTTTGGTTGGACACCCTTGCTGATATGGCTTGGAGCCGGCCCCAATGGCGTGTGTTGTGAGTTCCTTTGTTCATATCCCTCTTGCTTATCATCCCCCTCCAATTACGATCTCACTTGCTAGGCATAATATGACTCACTTTTTACGGCACGATAGCCAGCTGTTAGCTCTCCGGAACGACGTCCATCCGTTACTGGGGACTCAGCCGGCGTGCCACTGTTTGTTTTCCTTGTCTTTTGTATTGCGGCACAATAGCTGAGGTGTTTTCCACCTGCAGCTAACGTGTATAATGAATGAATGAATGAACGGCGCTTATAGAATGCAAATATGCTGACGATATTTTTCTGGGGTGCATGGCTACCACAACTCAAGATTCCTCGCCCTTTTTAGACGTGGAATAGAAAACCTGTGGGAGTGGTCTTCATCCAGATCAGTCACTCTTAACGGATCCATATGCACGGATGTAATATTTCTTTTTCTTCGTGGCGATAAGGTGCAGTCATAGATAGCCCACATATTCTATCTGTGAACGAAAGTCCGATACTCAGACCGCCCGCAGCGATGTGTCTCGGTATTTTTCGTATTCAAACCTCCAATGTTCCATGCAGGTCTATAAAAAATCTTCAGTCATAAAAGTTGTTTTTAATGCTCTCAGACAGTGCTTTCAGTAGCCTGTACTAAAATATTAAGATTTGTGACATGTATTATCCCACAATGGTTATACAGCTACTCTTTAATCTTTCCCGGGCTGTTTCAGAAAGAATATATCTTGTTGGTACAATCGAAATAGCACATTCCTAAATGTAGCAGCTTGTCTAACGGTTATTTAGTTGTGGTAATCATTTCTAGCTATCTTGGTGGCTGCAGTAATTTTTCGTATAGGGTAAAAAGTGGCTGATTTCGAACACTGCACACTGGCCTACCAAAAGACGTTTGCTTCTTCGCATTTAAAATTTGATATTATATTCTCTCACACTTCATCGGATCGCAATACTAGTTTACCTTACCTGTCACGTTTGCTGCGTGAGCGGTTATAGGAGTGATAGTTGTGTAAGCGTTTCACGTATATTATAATGATGTTATCTTCCAGTATATCTGCAGTGGTGGTGTAAATACTGAAAATGAGACCATTAGGACTCATAACGCTTATAATGAGTTGACTTAATTTGACCTAAGTCATCAGTTTAACGCTGGCACTCTCACATGTCACCAACCTGCAAGGTATAAGTCCTTTTCCAGTTGGTGGTGAACCGTGGGCACGATGGAGGTGTATGACATGATCAGACGTGGCACCAATTCGATAATGCCAGTCGCAAGCTTTATCGTGGTCGCTCGACGCGTGGTATCATGCTCCATTGCGTCCTGATCCGCAGTCAGATGGTCAATGTAGGTTTGTGCTTCAACAAGCAGTTCGTTGATGACATCCATGAGAGCAGTAACAACTTTTGATATCTATTGTGGTAGGAAAGTGATATAGGATCACCATAAAATACAAGCCAAAAAGTTGTCAAGTGAAAATATAGGAACTAGAATCAGATGTGACGCGACCAATAAGACTAATGAAGCGTTCTGCAAACCCGAATGGTTGCGTACTTAAATTCAGTAGCAGTAAGCGGAATTCGCCAGTTGTCTAATAATTACGTTTTTTCGGCAGTCGTCAGTAGCTACGACAAAAGCACACTACCGGTTTCCACAGTTAGTTCATTTTCATGCGACCGTGAGGATCTTGTAGATGAAGAATGATAATAAGGAAGGAGGGAACTAATAGAATACCAAAGTACTCCAAAGAAACATTCAAGATCAAGGCGTCTGCATCTTACCATGGTACATAATGATAGATGCAGTTCGATGTCGGTGATGGTGATGCTCTTATTGTGGGTAAGGGTAATAGGTCCATGTGGATCAATTGTACTGTACCTCGTGAAGATGTGAGAACATGAGTTCCGGGACCAATCGTTGTAAGAAGCCAACGATTTGGTTTCACCAGGAGGTTAACAAAGTCTCAAACACTTTCGGAGTGGAGGCATCCCTGTATCCACTAAAGTGTGCAATACCCCAAACTACGAGGTGAATGAGGCTGAACGTCCTTAAACTATTACTGGTACAACTTAAAAAGATAAATAATGCAGATACCTACTATTAATAAGAGATTTATCAATATGACGAGAAAAGATGGCAAGATGGTTCGAAACAATGCAACGTAGAGGTCCAGTTGCAAAACGTGGACAACTAACTGACCTTGCACAGCGGAAAGTGGAAGTGGCCCATATCCAAATATCGCGATAAATCCTCTCGATTGGCCTTTGATTGCAACAGTCGAGAGAGAGAGGGCAAAAGTCGATCCGGCGAGTCATGCATGTCGGCCGACTGTTGCTCATACGCACAAAGCTCCTCGTCAGTCAGTTCATCATCGTCAGGAAGTTGTAGCGATCCGACACCAAGGTCAGGCTTAGTACATGATGCCGTACCGGCCAACAGTGTGAAGCGAAACAGGTTAGTATCCGCAAACAGATTTCGAACTCTTGATAAAATTTCGTTCGTTCGGCGTTTTTCAGCTACTTGTGGTAGGCTGTGTATCCAACGCAACAAAAGCGCTGCGCCACCTTGGACATTATCGACTGGCAAGTTTTCGCTAAGCTCGCCACTGAGGAAGCCTGTCTCCTTACCCGTCATTGCTAGACTGTAAACAGCTTGGGTTACTGAGGCGAGAAAGGCTGTAGAGCGGCACTGTTTCGCTGAGGGCAAGACAGAATAAAATCTGCCTTCAATTAACCTCCGGGCCAAAACACCATCAAAGTAATCACTGTGTTCCATAATGAGAGCGGAGGATATAGACGACTGTTTGTTTGATGAAGGTCGCAGTGAGAGAACGTTAGTGAATAAATCTTGAAAAGCGGAAGCTAGCTGGCTACAGGAAGACAAGATTAATCCGTCATCTTCATCGGTCGCGGCTTCGGGTACGACAAGCTCCAGTCGCCATGCAGGTAACAAGCGGGGATAATGAATTGCGACATCATCGCCTTCGTCGAAATCGCTGCTTCCAGTGGCATCCGAGCCCAGGTAAGTGGACTGAAATGATATAAATGAAAGCAAAAGAATGACGCGCTGAATCTAGAAAGTGTAAAAACACCGAATGCAAATCGTTAGCGAAGATCAAAAAGACACCAATTCCGTGGCGAGTCTGATAGCGAGAATGACAGAAAGAAGTGCATCAGCAAGATGCCGGAATCTGGTACCGACGTTTCGCTATCACGAAACCACCGTCGGATGCATGCAAGTTGGGATATTGTGAGATCGATCGCACCCAAGCACCCAAGGGTGCACCCAAGAAAGGGTGAGCTGTGAAGTATGATGCAAACGCCTAGAATACTTCACCACCGATCAGAGAGAAAATAAATATGAAAGCCACTAGGAAGTTCACTAGAAAATGGGAAAACATAACATAAAATCGCCTTTCACGAATGCATCTGAGTAAAGGAATATACCCCTCGAATTAACTGGGTAAAGTAACTCGCGTTAACAGAAAAATATGACGAAGGGATCAGGTTAAACTACACAAGTGGTTAATAATCAAAATCAAAGTAACCGCATCTTGAACATTCCACAGTGGATAAAAACTGGTCAACTGAGTTATTCTCAATTAAGCGAAACAGCAAAGGGAGAAAATGCGGCAGTTGGTGTGGTTGTGTGTGAGAGATGTAACAGAACACGAAACATTGGTATTGTTCTGCATCTGACCACGCGTGAGATCAACTAACAAAGTCGGTATATAAACTGTATAGTTATCTATTTATCATGACGTGGAGTAGTGATGAAAGATGGTAGTAGAAATCATCTTCGGTACCTTCCGAACTGCAGTCAGTAGGAGCATAAACGGAGGCGAGAAAAAAGCAGCGTGTCATCATATGGTGCTTATTAACCCTACTAGAGGTTCGAAGTCGAACCGCATACATACGGCTGTTCACTGGTACCCAAACTAGTAGCTTACCTTCAACTTGTCTACTGAGGGCGGTACTATACCGTAAATACCTTAAGCCATTGACTCGGTATCACCAGAGATGCGAAGAGTGTAGTCATTGTCGTCAGATTCATAACCAGGGAGTTGAAGATTCGTCACAACGTTATTATCTTGTACGAGTGTTTCGAAGACACAGCACACATCAATACCGAGAGAGTGAAGAGTGAGTCAGTGATGCCTATGTACCGATTTGACCTAGAGTGTGGACGTTAAAAGAACCAATGTGAAATGAGACTCGTGGTTTCATAGACGAGTTACGAGAGCACACTGAGAAGGATCCAGTGCTGATAAAAATTCGCCAGTAATTGTATAGTTCATAGACCAACCGAGCGAAAATCCAATCCGAGTTTCTCTCATTTTACACTCTATAACACTAGTTGTATTCTGGAAGCAATGGTATTGCGAGAGGTGAACACGTTGTAATACCTGGAACAGTTATGCAGGCAGTGCTTGAATGCGAACAAAAGCCCGGATACGCCAATACTACTGGTGGCCGAAGTTGAATTCCAGCGTCGAGTCCATGGTTCGGGAAGGCTACGCCTGCCAAAAATCTGATAAAAGTGCCAGGTCGTTGGACGCTCCAATCCAACAAATAGAGTACCTAATAAAGCCATGGGCAAAAACATATTGATATCATGAGCCCATACGCCAATGCACCTCCACCAAAACAAGACGTGCTATTTGCTACCTGCTTCTACAGCAAGTGGCCGGAGGGTTCATTGTGTGGGGATGTCACTACAGCTGCCAATATCAAATGGATCCCTTGCTTATTCGCTGGTGTATGTTTATCAGGAGAAATATATTCACTAGCAATGAGTACGCTGAGTTCCTGAGGCGCAATGGTGTCCGACACTTGAGAACAGGGCCGTACAATCCTACCGCTAATGGTCTAGTTGAACGTCTCAACCGTACTTTGAAAGATTTTGCAGTTTCTTCAGTTTTCGGGTGCATCTCGTGACGATGCGTTGGTGTCTGTCTTAGAGGCCTAGAGAACCACATCAAAATTGGAACGACGAAGACCCCGTCCGAATTAATGCTAGAGAAAACAAGTCGAACTCGGTTAAACGTAACCATCACATCTGAAAAAAGCGCCAACCAAGCAGAATACGGAAGGTGAGTTGAATCTCAAGCTAACTACCGAAGAATTGGGAAGACCTATTCCACAGGAACATTTGTTCGCGTGGGGCTACTCTTTGCTCGGAAGGGAGGCAAAACAATCGGAACACCGACCCGTGTAGAACCGCTTCTCAAGCCAGGAAGCTATAAACTGACAGATGGAATAATAGTGAATGCAAGGAGGTTGTATACAGCGTTTTCAATAGATAAATCGAAACAAGCGAACACTTCGCAGCACAGTTTGACACAAATAAATAGAAATCTGCGACGATCCGACCAGATGCGTCATCCTGTATACGTTCATGTTCTAATGGGTAACGTTAAATGATGCTGCTGGTCGTTCACACTTTCTGGTACATTTACATGAATTGCTCATTCTCCATCGAACAGATGAAGGGATAATGTTGTGTCCACTCTCTGTGATTCACTTGGCCATACTGATGCACCCATGCCGTTGATTAGTTGTCATAGCTAGCCAACAGTTAACATTCATTGGACTAGGCGTGTCCCTGTTTCTGATTGGCTGAAGCGATCGTACGTTCATAAATATGTCGTCTAACACTGGAACCGTTGTCCGTGCTTCCATTGTGTCCATACAAACGTTCATTTACGACTCGTAATCTGTCCCCTCGGACAAAACATGGCATTACAACACATTTGGGTCATTAGCGTGTTTGGGACCGATCATCCTGGTAAAAAACACGCGACGAGATGGACTGCCATCAGGTAGATGAAAGACTAAATCCAACCGGCTGAAGGCATAAAAAACGACAAGATAAATGCAGTAGGATTAGCACAGAGGCCAGCTGGTAGACAAGTGGTTAAAGAAGACAAACAATGCTACTAAACAAACGTAATCGGACGACATTTTTTTCAGAAAAGAGCAGTCACTCTTTGAGTGAGATAAACAGCCACCACTCACTCTGAGAGTAGGCCAGCCTTTCTCGAACTTCAACGAACCCGATACACACTGTGCTTTTTCCAACCAAGGTTCAAATATGTGCTTCCAGAGACGCCCAACGAAGTCATGAAAACGACCCTGTCACGATAAAAAAACGGACCCAAGCGGAGTGAAGTGTACATAAACATGTTTCATAATGGGTCATCAGGGAAGAGCAATTGACAGAACTCCGGAAAATGGAGCTGAAAAAATGACAACGATGGTCATTGTCACTTTCCCTAATTACAAAGTTGTATTTGAGCATCATTGTAGCTCAGCTCAGTTGAAGATAGTGGACACGGCGACCAAGTGATTGGTGAGGATGATGGGCGGGAAATATCTCACAACGCGAAGATATGCTTAAAGAAACTGGCAATTAGCAAATAAAGCGGCACCATGCGCCCGTAAAAAAATAAATAAATAAACTGTATTCCTCGACGATGCGAGAAGCTGTTCCCTAATAGGGACAGATCAAATAATGGTAAAGGTTTTCTATGACATTTCATTAATACATTTTCAGAGATAAACATGGGCGCAATTGCAAATTAGGTAACAGAGTAAGCAAAATCGTTCTGCTATTTTTTTCCTGCCATTGAATCAGGATTCTTCACAATCACATGACAGATATTTGGGCCGAAAAGAAAAAATGTAATGAAAGGGGCGGTTGTCCGAATTGTTATATGTTTCGGAAGTTTATTCAGGCACCATGAATACCGTTTTCGAATGCGATATCTAGGGACTGTGATATCCCGAACATTTTAATCACGTTTTGGACGGTTAAATGCTTACTAATCGCAAGCTTAAAATTGCAAAGTGTAAAGCATGTTCTGATATCATTTGGAAGTTTGTTCCAAATCTTTGAGTATTGGGTTAGAAAGAAAGGTTCTCTGATTTTCGCAGTAAATTTTGGAATCATGACTTTTACCTTTTTGTTACGTATTGGATATCTGCTGTTTAAAGATATGTGAACACTGTTTTCAAGACTGCGAATTTGACAATTTATGATTCTGTAAAGAAAACATAGCTTCAGCTTCATTATCCGAAGCCAAACTGGGTCAAATCCAAGTTTAGCACATCGCTCTCTGTATGTCAAGTTTGAGGAATATCCCCAGCTTTTTCGTGAAGCGTCTCTGGACCCTCTCTCAAGAGCGTGCTGGTCAGACTTCCGCAGATTAGACTGTACCATTGAACAGTATTCCATACACGGCAATACGGCAATCGCGATATGCGCGATTCCGTGAGGTAAAAATGATGGCAGATATATATATATATATATATATATATATATATATATATATTCACAGTCTGTTAACAGACGTTGTGCCATCAGAACCATGGCAGAAGAAAAAAGTGAAGAATATGGGAACACTAATGCGATTAAAAAATATGGGAAACTATTTTTTGGTTTTACACACGCCATTTTGTATTTTTGTTTTGTTTTGTGAGTTTTTGTGTGCATCATACGGATGGTGAAATTGCAGAACAACATTGGCGCCACTGATATCTGTTGCGGGCCATGACGTTTAATGTTTCCAACCACTGCGATTCAGCATCTCGTGGTCCCCAACCTGGAAGGCGGACTGGTCTGACTGCCGCCAAACTTCAGGTTGCCTTCTTCATACTCCTTCTCCACGTCATCGGCTGTCCACCGCGGCACTTTTTCCAATCGCTCCCTGGGAGTGCAAATAGCGCTCGACGTGGAAGGTGATGAGTTGGCATGCGCAGAACGTGCCCGAGCCAACGCATGCCATGTCGGAGAATAACGTCCTGAAGACTGGCACTATTCGCCCCAAGCACGCGGTCTCTCAACGCTGCGTTGCTTACGTGGTGTTGCCATCACAGCCTAGCAATCCTTCGTAGACAGCGATTATTAAAGATTGATAGCCGCTTCATATCTTCCGAGCGAATAGGCCAAGTCTCACAGCCATGCAAGAGTATTGCACGGACAGAAGCATTGTACACCCTGCCCTTGAGCTTGAGGCTGACATCACGACGACGCCATAGATGTCACAGTTGAATGCAAGGTGGGCCTTTGCAATCCGTTGTGAGACTTCATCTCCAACACCGCAATCAGCCCTGATGCAACTCCCTAGATAAGTAAAGCAAGGGACTTGCTCCAGAACATGTCCAGCAATGGTGAGCGCGGGGTCAGGCACTTGCCAGTCCTGGAGCAGCGTTTTACATTTTCCCGGAGTGAAGCATGGGCCATACTTAGACGCCTCCATCGCCAAGCGGTCCAAAGCGCTCTGGACGGATTGTAGGTCGCCCCCCAGCAAGGCGATATCATCGGCGTAGTCCAAGTCCGTGAGTCTGTCTCCAGGGAGAAGCTCAACACCGCAGTCCTGGACACCTTCCAGTGCTCTTTGGAGAACATCTTCGATGACGAAATTGAAGAGGAAAGGTGAAATAGGGCAACTTGGGCGAACACCACTGGTCACAGCAAATGAAGAGGAGTGCGTGCCGTAAGCCCTAACTTTGCCCGACGTGTGACTGTAAAGTACTTTCAGGATAGTTACAAACTTGTCGGGCACACCTTCCTTCAGTAAACAGTTCCGCAACGCAGATCTATCTACTGAATCAAATGCCGCTCGGATGTCCAAAAACACTACGATTGTTTGACGCCAGTGGATGTGACGAAGTTCGAGAACTTGCCGAAGCGTGAAGATTTGGTCGATGCAGCCGCGGCCTGGACGAAATCCGGCTTGTTCTTATCGGGAAAACTCCTCTCTAGTCGTTGAAAGCCTGCCAAGTAGGACAGACACGAAGATCTTTGATGCGACAGAGATTAGGGAGATTTCGCGGTAGTTGCAGCAATCGGCCCGGGAGCCCTTCTTGTGCATCGGAACAATGACTGATTCTCCCCATGAGCTCGGAACCTTCTCCTCAGTCCAAACTTTCGTGAACAGCGATAGGATTTCGCTGATAAGTACACTCCCACCATCTTTGAATAGAGCCGGTGGTAGGTTGTCGGGACCCGAAGTCTTGTGGCGTTTCAAAGATTGGATTACATTTCGAATCTCTGCTTCATTTGAGGGGGGGGGGCTATGGAGACACGCCAAGCCTCATACATTGGGGCTTGAGGTGCCGCAGGGGGCTGTGTTGGGTGGTTGAACTGAAGAGCGAAATGCTCTCCCCAGCTACTCAATCGCCTGTGAAGGTTGGTGATCTTCGTGCCGTCTGCCTCGCAAATCGTCTGGCTGATAGCGTGGAAATTACAACCAGTGGCCCTGATGATGTAAAACAGACGGCGGAAGTTGCCAGCTGATGCAGCGGCTTCCATCTCATCAGCTTGTTTTGACCACCAAGATTCACGATCAGAGCGAAGGCTTGCTTTCAGCTGTTGCGTAATGGAGCGGCGGTGTTCGTTGTACTCTGCGCCAAGAGGCACCGCCCGTCGACTATCCAGTAATTCTGAGGATCTTCCCGAGATCCAGCATTTGGGAGTGGAGCGAGTGAGATCACAGCTGGACAAATCGGCCGACATCAAGGCTTGTTGCAAACTTGACCAGTATTGATCAACACCCAGAGTATGAGAGAGAGCTTTTCGCGAAGCTTTTGTTGATACTCTTTCTTCACCATTGGGTCCTCCAACTTATAGGTATTCAGTCGGGTGTGTTTTGACCTAGGCGAACCACCAAAACGCATGCAAACGGTCGCACACACCAGTGCATGATCAGTATCGACGCATGTTGACCAAAATGATCGGCAGTCGCGTACGCTTCCGCTCCACCTGCGACTTATAGCTATGTGGTCAATCTGTGACCAGCGCTGGGTTGATGATGGGGGGCGCCAAGTGGAGTACTGACGTCCAGGATGACGAAAGCTGGTGCTAGAGAAGAATAGTTGATAATCAGCACACAGACTGAGCAGTCTCTCTCCAATGTCTCAGCGAACAACATCATATCCATGCGGTCCCCCGAGGTGGCGCTCACATGGTAGCAGACGACGGACACGCGCGTTGAAGTCACCTGCCAAAACAATGATGTCTGTTTTGGGAGCCCTTAGGAGCAGCTCCTGAAGGTTCTGGTAGACCTGGTCTTTGACGATGTCTGAGCTACAGTCAGTGGGCGCGTAGGCAGAGATCACGAAGAGAGCACGCTTTTCGACTTGACGTCTGCTGACTTTACAAGAGCCATGGAGCCTCATCGCACAAAGGCGGCTATTGATCGGAATCCAATCAATCAAAGCAGTCTCGGCTCTAGCACTGAGGGCGATTCCAACACCAGCTTACCCCGATGCTGCAGACTCGGCGTCACCAGAGAGGCGGAGATGGAACCGGGTGCGTGGGTGGAACGGTGACACCAGCTGGTAGACCGAGTTAGAGTCCTGGAGTCGTGTTTCAGTCAGGCAGCAGATATCAATTCCAAAGGTCCCTAGCGTACGTGCAACTCCAGCTTGCTGACCGATCTGCAGTAATGTGCGTACGTTAAAAGCTGCAAGTCTGAACTGCGTTCCGGGTTGCAGGAGCGAAGATTGGCGACTATGGGACCGGCAACTCTCTGTTGAGTACTGTGTGGTTGAGTTGACAGATGTCACGGGAACAGGTTCATCAGTGTAGGTGGGATTGATCGTTAGAGAGGAATCAGATAAAAATGGGTGTGAATGGTAAACGGGAAGGGTAGGTGAAATGGTGGCGTGTGCTTGTGAAGTTGGCATAGTAACATGAGTGAATAGCATGGTAGAAGCAAGACTGCGGGTGAATGATTGTGGTTGTAAGTCCATGGTTCGTCAGTGGGCGAGATACTACCCGGTTGCCCAGGCCGAAGTAGAGGGTTGTCTTAGGGGGCCCCACCCCGAGCCTTTGATCAAGGATCTAACCTACAAGGCATCAGGGCAATATGAGGGTGTCGCAACACGCTGGGAGCCGGTGACAGATATATCCGATGGTCTTTATGGCTTTCAAAACTTGAAAGTCACAGTGTTCAGAAAAGTTAAACGTGACTGAATATCGCACGCCCAAGTCACGCACTGCCCTGCATGGCGAGATATATGCGCCTTGTAGTAATAAACTGTCTGGCGGTAATTGGCATTTGTGCGACAAAATATTACACTCGTCCACGGCAAATCCGAACATAACTACGGCCAATACAACACTGGGTTAACAACACACAACGATAAAAGTAGTTTGCAATTAAATACACTTGGCTGAAAACAGCCAAACCGTACGGATAACGTAGCCGAGTTTGATCATGGCGACTACGCATGTGTAGACAACGCTACCTTCCAAAGAAAAAACTATTGAAACAGGTGCAGAAAGTGAAAGAGTCAAAACTAGTTGGGTACTAAGCCATGGTGAGATTTCCGCACAAGGTGTTCAGATGGCGCATTGGGGTAAAAGTGCTTCGATTGCATCTGGTAACAAGGCTGGTGTAAGAGCAACTCACAGCCCACGCGGTGCCCGCTCCAAACAGTCCCAGCCACCCCCATGTGAGTGCGGGCGGTAAGGTGTTACGCGTACGCACAGCGGCGTAGGCCTGACAAGTAACCCACATGTCTACACAAGCGAACAACACTACCCATTCAATTTTTATTAATTTTGATAGCACATAAGTTATTTGGGTTGACACTTCGCTACCATACAATCATCATGATCTAGGAGGTAAAGAATAATAAGAGTGGGAGAATTAGACTTAGAGAAAAGCCTAAACGCTCTGATTAAACAATCGGGAGCAAGGTACGTACGCATTGTCAACAACAGACAACTGGCTACCGTGCGGATATAATGCGGCTCCACTGTGGCCTACACTGTCCCGCGTCATAACCAATAGTACTACGCAGACAACTCAACGTCGGACACACTTTAAAAAGGCAGTCCATGTAGGAGGCGGCGGGAAATGTGCCACTGGCGACAGATATGAAACATATCCCGGAAAGTTCCTAGCCAATTGCGGACTCCAGTTTGTAAGACAAGATGAACCAACTGCGCCAAAGTTGATTGTCAGAAGCTTTATTTCCGGCTGCTAGGTCAAATTTTGTTCCGCTTGAGCCTTATGCTATCCTACGTTCGTGTTAAAGATGTATGGTGTGCTTGTATATAAGGAAAGCAAGACAAGGGAATTATCTATGTACACCCATTGATCACAGCGTCCACAAATATTGGCAGTCAGAACGCGATGGTTAAGGTGCCAGAAGAGGAAAGCAGTAGACAGTAGGGAGATACAATACGTGATGCAATATGAGATTACGACAAAGGTACGCTGTCTAACCAATAAGTTTAGGAACCAATCTTTTGTTCTAGCACTGACCAACCCTGAAATGAAGCCCCGGGCAACAGGGTAGCATAATGAGGTTGTGTTGGTCGAACCCGGTGCATCGATCAAGGACGCGATGTTTTACGACACAGGAAATCGCTAGATGTAATAATAGGCTTGGGAACCGTTTTGGTAGTAAGGCAGGAAAGAGATAACCATGACTACATAAGTATTACTAGTGAAGAACCAGATTACTAGTAAGGCACTTGTGAATCATACCACTAAATGTTGAGTGTGTTCGGTTCAAGTAACCAGCAAAAATGTTTAGGGGTAAAAACTTACACTGAAATCGCCAAGAGCATCCACCAAACGAAAGAGCTGAGCAAGAAGCTCGGGTTTTGCATAAACAGTCAAACTAGCCAATAAAGGAGATGGATGAAAAGGCCCCACATCCGTGGGAATCCATTTGTCAACGGGGTGCGCCAGTAGTTCCATCGCTTCTGTTGCCGATGGAAGAGTAGAGCCCGGTAGTACTCCATTAATGAGCCGGAGATCAAGTAACAACCGTGACAAACTACTTGGCGGATTATTCTGTAGCGCTTCACGAGTACGTGTGTGCCAGACAAACCAATGCCGCCACAGTAGATCGATGTGTTCGTTTAGGCGAATCTGGTAGGTAAAAAAGATCGATATTATTTTTGTACGACAACACGACACAAAGGAATGGCGCGCAACAAAACCTGAGCACAAAACAAGCATCTGGAGATACAAAAAATAACCCCACTAAGGGTGGGGTGACCGCAATGGAAAAAACAATATTGCGAGTAAATGAAGTAGCAATAACAACAAAGGACAGTTGGTTGACCTTTAGCGTAGACAGAGTGAGGGACAAGTGGACGCAATCGGGACCGTGAGTTCAGCTAAACATCTATAGGCATGGAACCAAAGGTTCCATGACGAAAGCGTACAAGAAAATGGCGCATAGCAATAACCGCACACGGAGACTGCGTACAGTAAAAGTAATCACATTTTAGCAATATGTTCACAAGTGTCATATTATCTAGTTGTGGCAATAATAAGATCCAATATTGATGTATGCCTCCAAAAGTAGCAAATTGTGACAATTATGACATTCACACTCAAGGAGCCCGTTAGTACGACCGCTGAACATGTGCCGTACTGCGCAGCGTTGCAAAACCACGCACAAAACTACACAGACAAAGCAATGCCCGCATACTGCAGTTAGTCGAGGCCTCAACGAATCGGCGGCTATCTTCACCTGAGCCAAAACGTCAGCAACGTGGAAATAAAGACCTTGGAATATGATGTCAGCTGAAAACTCCAACTCAAGCCTCTAGCTGCACCGACACAGTCGTTGATATAAATAGAGCGTTTGATGACGTTCGTGCTACATTTCTAAGTGAAAAATCATGTAATGCGGTGCTCACATACCTCTCAACGTAGGCTGCGACACAAAGGTAACCAGTTTACTTTACTTACTACCCACAGTAGGAAATCACGTCGCAAAAAACGATCTGCTAAACAGTCTCCCTGATAGTGACCACAAGACATTAAGATTTTCAAGAGCTTCAATGAATCACGGGCAATGCTGGTCTTCATCAAAGCAAATATTCCCATTTCATTATCATGAATCAATATCAGAAATCACTTCAGGGTAAAGAATTCTTTTCGGTAAACTCCATCAGACGTTAACGTTTAAATAGCACTGATTGTGAGGAAAGCGTCAACTCGGGCTGGGATTGACGTCTAGGCTGTTTGAACGATCAAAATCGATAACTTGAGACAGGGATACAGATGGTAAACCAAGTGAACTAAATAAACCTGCATCCACAAAGCTCAGTAGTCCGAAGTGAGATAAGGTAAGATAACAACCAAATAATTAAGTAACAGTGTCGGTTGGCTAAGGTAGTAGTATGGATCGTTTTTGTACACATAATTCCGGCTTCAGACGGTGGATGTAGATAGCCTCTGCGATGGATAAGAACTGTTTGCGGAATCCATGAGAGAAGTGTTCAGGTAGTGAGTAGATGAATTTGAAGTCATTCTCGGAAGCTTTATGGCCACATTCAAGGAGGTGCGACATGATTGAGCTGTCTGAGGACCTCATTTCGCCTTTGTAAAACCATGCCGGGATGTGTTCACGAATCCTCTGAGATAAGCGCCTCGTAGTGCGATCCACGTATCGTGCACCACAGGAGCACGAATACTGACAAACGATCATTGAACGAGTCAACGACGGCAATCTTCCAAGGGTTTTGTAAACGACAGCCTGTTGTGATAGACAATTATCAAGCGAGTCGCGAAATAAGTTTTCTCAACAGCATCTTGCAGGCGTCGTGATAGCATGTCAGCTGCAGGATCGCTCTTAAATGTTATATGTATGAAAAGGTCTTTCTTAGGAGCAATGCTCCTAGGTGTCTTCCGATTGCGTTCCTTCAAAGGCTTCATGATAAATTTATCAGAAGAATCATTTTCCATGAGGGCGTCGCTGATTCTCTGTAGTCCTTCGTTGACGGTATCCGGTGTACAAATACTGCGCGCCCTGAAGGCCAGTGATCTGATTAAACTCCTCTTATGCTGTAGAGGTACTGCGCTGTGGAAGTTAGTGTACTGCCCAGTCCATATGTGCTTTCTGTGAAACAACGACTTAATAATGTACAGCCTTTGCGCCTGCGCTAGACTCAATGAGTGGTTCCATCTAGCATATGATGTTCGGTACGCGGCTGATTCACCACTTCGACAGGAATGCTGTGCATGTTGAAGTGTGTGCCGTAACAAATAGTGACTACCATTCACTTGCCTTTCGGTCATATTCCTATGAGCTGGCACCGAATATGGTACGTGTGGATGGAGCTATGGGTGGAGGTGTCCTGTGGGCGTCCACGTGCAGGGTACAGTAACAAACAGAACCAAGAACGGACGCTGACAGTCATGGTCCACACTGGTTTAGGCATGCATGTGTGGTCACGGTTGTTCATTCGTGCGGTAGTAATATTACTTTGAGGTCTACAAATTTGTGGAATCTTGTTAATATATGTCAACGTTTTCCTGTACTCTTAGAGCCTTTGGTAACATATTTATGTTGAGGGGTAGGGTGAGTTATATCGTGATGGTTGAAATCATTAAACTGCTAAGCAGACATTTGTGAAGAGGAAAAATATAGCTTATCTGAAGATCGGAAAAAGCATTGATGTGTCCAATTATTCCCACCGAATGCAACGCTGTATGAGCGGCTGTGGTGCAGCGTATATTCCGGTACCAAAGATAAGTATTATTATCTCGTGGTCACCACCAGAAAAATGCCAAGTAGATCGTATTATGAGATGCGAATTCGTAATGTGAGCATTAAGTAAAGTACATAAATAATATGGTCAAATGTGAGCATGCTACAAGATAGCTAAAAGGTGTTTATTTTTAGTGTGCGCAATCTTCGTGTGCGCTTCCTTCGTGTGCGGTTCTTTCTGGTCACCGGAGCAAACGCATGATGTATGCACGTGCCATGACTCACGCCGCCACGATGATACAAGACGCAATGGCATCATGTGTGAAAACACTGAGTGAGAATACGCAAACAAATTAGCCAATGAAATTCCAGATGTCAGAAGAAAAAAATCTATAATCTTTAGATGGAGGCACAATAGTAGAAGGTGAGAGACAAAATGCAGATAAATGGCGACTGGTTCGTTGTAAAGCATATCTAAAACGCCAGTTGTCAGATTACGATGTCTCATCCAGAGTGGTGAGATGTACAAGTCGGACTAAGCCCTTTCATCAGTTTCTTCATGTTTTTCAGTGTTCCACCATGCAGCCAGGTGCGGCGGCGGCAAACGACACACACATATGCATTGGCAGAAGAGATGTGAAGCGGATCTAATTTCATATATAAGGCGCACCGGATTATAAAGCGCATAAAGCGAAACGAATTATCGGACAGGTCAGACTTAAGTCAACTCATTAGCAATAAACGTCAATATTGTCCACTTGTAAAATACATAAAACGCAGGAAAATACACTCACTCAACCATTCCTCTTCTGAAAATCCGGTAAATTCTTCATCTTCAGGATCGGAGTTCAACAGTTGAGCGATAGCGGCATCAAGCAAGCCCGGATCCCTCTCGTCATCATCTGAGTCAGTCTCGTTGCTGTTGCTTGGCTGTTCATTGATGATTCCGGCCTTCGTGAAAGCTCGGACGACAGTTGAGACCGATACCTTGGCCCAGGCATCGATGATCCATTGGCAGATAGTGGCGTAACTAGCCCGGCGTTGCCTCCCTGTCTTGGTAAATGTGTGCTCACCTCCTGATCCAATGCGCCCCCGCCGCTCGTAATCTAAGTTTTAACGCCCTGTTGACATCATATCTAGCGATTGGACTTCTTTGGTTAATTCTCCCGGAATGATGGCAAGCTCCGAATTAGTTTTCTTCACTTGGCGTTTGACAGTTTCAGTGAGATGGGCGCACATGGAGTCGTAGATCAATAAGGACGGAGATGTGTGGAAAAAGCCATCCGGTCTCCTGACGTAAACTTCTCTCAGCCACTCGCTCATTTTCTTCTCGTCCATCCAGTCTGTTGGGTTGCCCTTGACGATGGCCCTAACAGGAAACGTTTCTTTTGACAAAGTCTTCCTCTTAAAAATGACCATGGGTGGTAGTTTCTGGACATTAGCCTGGAAACCGAGAACTACAATGAAGGATGATTTCTCGTTCCCTGTACTGCGTATAGATACAGTAGACGTCCCTGTCTTTTCAACAGTACGGTTCACGGGAATGTCAAAGCTGAGAGAATCCTCGTCCATGTTTGTGATGTGGTCTGACTGGATCTTCTTTTCGGTGATCTTGTTCTTGCAGTAAGTGCAGAAGATGGTCTACTTTTTTTCGGAATCCTTTGGCAGCTGCTGCGATGTGGTAGTTCTTGTGCGGATGGAGAGATGACGCCTTTTCATAAAACGAAGCACCAAGAAGGACCTTCTAGAAAGTCGCTCATCTTCATATCACGTGCCATCGCTATTGCCTTGGATCGAATGGAGATTGTAGAGAGGCTTCTAACTGCTGTTCTGTGTTCAATAATCCACTGTTCAATTTTGTCCTTTAACTGTGACAATCTTGCTTTGTTCCCTCGGAAACTATTCTTTGTCTTTACTTGGCACCGATCATCTTGCTTCTTACACTTCCGTGCCATTGATTTATTAATGTTGAATTGTTACGCAGCTGCTCTTTTTGCATCTTATACCGAGTGGCTGCTAGCCTTAATTTTGAAATCCGCTTCGTAAGCATGTCTGGTAACAGGTGTCATTTTGGGGTCCTTAATTACCAGTATGTTGAAGCACAGTAAATATCAGGAAAAGTGGTAGGGGTAAGCGAACAAGCTTCGTCTTGATCGCCACAGCATGCGACTGGCGCTGTTATTATGCTTGACCTCAGATGTTGACCAGATTCTATGTTATCGCGCACTGTTACTCTCTCCGTAGTGACGCACGACGACGAATGTTCCAGTTGTCTATCCGAAAACCCAGTTCGGACAATGATGTGAGTGAAGCTCACACGGGCGTCGCAGACTGTCTGGATGACTTCACGTCTATGAGCGCAGATCATGTGTTCAGTCTCACCTGCAACCAGCGAGATGCAAGTGCGCGTTTTGGATAGTGTTGGGCCAAGTGAGTTTGCTGGGTGGAGTAACCATCACATATATCACAATATGGGATATCAGCGTGGATGGTTGAAAAGTCTGTCTACACAACATAGAAAGGCGACTCCACAAGGTTCCTGACCAGCGATCATGTTTCGACAATGAAAGTCATGATAAAAGATTTTGACAGACTTTTCAGCGCAGTGTGAATATAGAAATTGGATCCAGGTCACTAGGCCTCAGCACAACCATTCATAGATAAGGCGCACCGGAATATAAGGCGCACTGCCGATATTTTTTTAAGCAAATATAAGGATTTTAAGTGCGCTTTATAGTCCGAAAAATACGGTAAGTACGTCCTGTGAGGCGCAGTAACTTTACGGTCACTATCTGTAGCCTATTGAGGCGATTTGTTGATTATCTTATTACTTACTGTTGGTACTGGAAGTGTGATTAATGAGGATTTTATTGCTGACCTATTGCAAATAGTATCGTTACTCAGTTCCGGCCTTGTGGTCAGCTTGAGTCCGGAGGAAACGCGTGACTCGACCCTTCGAAGTAAATTTTGTCGCTTAAAAGGCGATTAATAAAAATAACCATCTAGTCGCTGAGAACAGCAACCGACAATAAACAGATCTACAAGTGGTCAATGAAAGTGTGGCAGTAGAGTCGCATGATTGTAAACGAGTTGCATACATTTCCAATGGTTTCATTTGCTTAGAGGCATCCACGAAAGGTGAGAGATAAAAGTATAAACCACGCCTTTAGTGTAATGCTTCCCGGTTTCACAGTTGGATATATAAGTTATCGAAACAAGAAAACAAACCTTGAGGTCGCGCAGAGCTTGACGAAAGCCATGAAGTACCAAAGTGGTGTCCTTGCTGAATTTTGTTGGCTGGTTCATCAAAGATTCCACCTCTCCAAGCGATAATACCACAGCATTCGTGCATAACCTGGTCAAACACGAAAGGATTGGTAGCTGGATCACAAGTATGATGGGAAGACAATAATAAATGAAAAGATCCCTTGTTTATATGGAGGCGGGGTCATTAGACCAGAGTGAACATCTAGTGAGATTTAAAAGGAGACAGATAGCTTGAGGAAAGTAAATGAATAGAACGGCAATGGGGAGGGACCATAGGATTTCGAAGGTAAGCATACAATCGAAACATACAAGAAACGTGGATAAGAACAGAACGGACTTCGTCTGTTAATCATTATGACAGAATGGAGGGCTAAGTGAATTCAAAACATTAAGTTCAACGAAGAAATTTCCTTTTTCAATTCTCACCAGGTAAATAGACATAAAAAAACTGGTTAGCACATTTCAATGGCTTTATAAAGCTAAACCAAAGTCGGTTGAATCCTAACAAGTTGCATTCTCCATCAGTTCAACTTTCAATCGATGGAAATAATCGCGCGCATGCAATATACCCACACACGCACACAAAGGACACGACAGTTAGGCCGGTAGTACGTGTGACGGGGCCAGCTGAATCATTGCCTGAGACCGAGGTGGACGGCGCTCAAGTCCAACTTATGGCGATGGCAAGAAGAGGGCCGGCACCAGCGCCCGTCGCTTGCATAATTCGGACAACACTAGCCTGATCGCAATGGACTCGTCCATCACCAGAAAACCTTAAGCGTAGTGTTTTGGCCGGAAGCAAAAAACTTTGAAGGCATGTGGTCACAATTTGAGACCCATTTCGGAGTAAACGTCGCAAAATGTCAAAAAGGAATTCCTTGGCTGAGTTAAGTTCAGTGGAAGCGGAGGCAAATGGGTCGAGAGGAATAGTGAGCTGAATCAGTGGCTCTAGTGGACGCTAACGACAGTGATTCGACCAATTAAATGGACGAGAAATGGCACAAAGTGACCAGAGCAATAGTAACCCACCGATCATATCAGACGCCCAGTTTGATGACTATGAGTGACCATATACGGCCGCTACCAGGGTATCATATAAACATGGTATATGACAGAAAGATCTGCACTTGTTCTGTGTTAACAATTGGGCGGAATGTTGCATGTAAGTGCAGCCGAGGCGATCAATATATCCGGGAATCAAGCAGATCGATCCATGAATAAACTCTACCTAACGAATAACGGATCACACATAATTGCTAGCGGATGTGACGAAAATCAACACTGACCATGAGAGAATTATTGCTCAGGTGTACATGTTATGATTAGTTGCTATTAAACGAGAAAATATACCGGCAGCGCGATGGAGTTGCAGTGGGTTAACCGCTTGGACCATTCCTCGCCGACTTAGGTTGAATGAAGGAGCACGTGTCGAAGTCGGTTCAATATGAGGTAGCGCAGCAAACTGCTCCAAGTCAGACTACACGTCCATGCAAGTTACCGGCATCTTCGATCGCCAGGCCCTCATTGATCCCAGGTCAACACGGCATTCAAAATTCTGCTGCGTCACACCGATTCACGGCTCCTCCGATTCGGTGAGGCTCTCGCAATAAACCGGTGCTTTGCGTCCGAAAGCAACCTCAGATTGCCCTGGACGTAATGGTACGACTTTAGTAGTTTCTCTTATTGTGTGTTTTCGTAGTATGTTGCTGGCCAGTCATGGGCGGTCATGGGTTCGATCCCCAGCAGGAGACCAAGGGAATGCGCGGCACTGAGGAGCCCCAAAAGGGCGAAAATTTTATCTGGTGCCTTTTTTCGGATTGGCAGGTGATCTTTGATATGAACCAAAAAAAACATAAAAACTCCGGCTACGCATTAGTTTTCGTGTATGTTTACAGCATCTAACGTACTATGTAAGTTCAAGTTATCGTTTTCAGCGCTAACATAATAAAATAATGATAATGATAATGTCTCAGCTGTACGCCGTAACGGCGCTTCGCTGCCGCGCGACCACCACCAGTCGCGCGCGGGCTGAGTATACCGCGAGGACGCCCACCCCTACGCGGATTCGAACCGGTGACCTTATGGTTGCAAAGCAAACGTGCAGACCACTCGGCCACCGGCCGACTTTCAGCGCTAACAAAACGGGATGAAATGCTCGCATTTGACGATATTCGTTTCCGCACTGCAATTTTCTATGTGTATTTACTCGTTCTCTTGTTTCTGTGGAGCAGGATACGTTGGTCGTACGACAATAGGGTAGTAGGAACATTATTCGGCCTGGCTCGGAACTCTGCTATCGCAACGCATCTGTAGGACACGAGTCACGCCTCCAAATCGGCTGATTCGTAAAAAATTATCTAGCAAGCTTCAGAAAAATCGATCGAAGTGTGTCCGTACGCGGTTATTAGACGCCGCGGAAGCAATTGCGACTCGGCTGTATGTAGCACGGCTGTGTACGCAGAAGACGTTCGCCCAGGCGTGGAGTCTACCCTAGTCTGGACGGATCACCGTTGACCCGTGTAAGCGCGTGGAGGCTCAGCTATGATCTGATTGACGGTGCTTGTCATCGCGTACTAGAAGTAACTGGCTGACTGACGAAGAGTTGGGTTTGTCTAAAAATTTTGATTGTCATATTTACAAAAGCTTGAAAAAGAACTCTCGAAAAGAAATGTTCGCATACAAAGATTATAAAAGAGAAAGTTGACTTCGTTTTAGAGTTGGTATTCCAAAACCCAACAATGGAATTCTAACTGCATCATCAACAGCAGTACATCAGCCATTTGAACAGATGATTCGTTCCCGCATAACCTCAAGGACCTACGGAACGAAAAACAAAAAGAGGGAAAAAATGGATCTGGGTTTTTAAAAAATAGTGCCTTAAAAAAGACTCGGGGTCAAGCCGCCTACACCTGGTCAACAACACGCCATCACAAACAGCTGCTTATCGTGCAATAAGGCGACATCGGCGAGACAGCTTTCTTGCGGCTCTCACTTCCCCGTCTCATAATCAGCCATTACTCCGCAGATAACTCAGCACCAAACACACTATGAAGAGGCAGTCCGACTAGGAGACGACAGCAGACACGCCACTGGTGTAGACTGCGAGTGATGTAATGTAACGTCTCAAGCCAAGTACAAGGTGCGTCACGTTAAATCCAGTCTGGAAGGCGAGACGGACTAACAGCACCCAGTTTGGTCATCAGTGACTTCATTTCCCGCTGCCAAGTTAATTTTTGCCCACCTCGAGTCTTGCACCGACCTACACCTTGCAGAGTAAACAAGGCGCCCAAGTAAGCGGTGACCGGGCATACGTAGCACGTGCCCAAGCCGACGCAACTTATTCAGTGCTATCTGTTGTTCTAAGGAGCTAGCGTGTATCTTTGCCTGGCACTCACCTACAGACATCATTATTGCGGACACACCGGTGCCATTCGACACCAGCAATGCTTCGCAGACAACGATGGTCAAGGAGTTGAAGGTTCCGCATGCACTCAGATCAAAGAGGCGAAGGCTCACTCCTCACTGTGCCTTGTATACAAGGGCTTTCAGAAAGATGGAAACCCCTTTCTTACATCACAGACGTCGAAGATTCAAGAATACAATTCTAGCTTTAGCGATGGGTGAAGTGACTTCAGTCGTTGTGCGCACGTCGTTGTCGATGCAGCTGCCAAGGTAGATGAGGTGATCAACTACCTCGAGTTCCTCGCCATCAAGGGTCAAGGGGTCATCAAGTGGCTAGTGGTCTTGCAACAACATATTGCCCTTTGGAAGTGCGAAGCGCATGCCAAATAATGGGACCACTAACCGTACTGATTGCGCCGTCTCAACATCGTTAATAAGCAGAACAAAATTGTACGCATATTCACGAGCAACTATATTTCCACCAAGCAGCAGCTACGCCTGCGTCGTGAAGGGAACACACCACGGCACAGTTGAGCAAAAAATGGGAAAATTTCGCAACGCTGACGAACGCCAGTTGTTGTCGGAAAGGCATCCGACAAATCACCGTAGACCCTGACGTAGCCTGTGGTGTTCGAGTATAGGGCACGTAATATGATCACATATTTCCTGGGAACACCTTTCCACACAAGTATTTCGAACAGAATGTATCGATCAACTGAGTCGAACGCTTCTCTGGCACCTCCCGCAGAGTGAATATGTGGTCTATACAGCCACATCCAGGGCAGAAGCCTGCATGCTCTTCCCTAATCCGGGATTCTTGCGCCGCAGTGAGGCGCTGAACGAGAATCGAGGTCAGTAATTTTTTCACAACTGACTTTAGGCTAATACCCCGGTGGTTAGCACACCTAGTACGACTGCCCTTATTGTATATCGCCACTATAATTGATTCACTACAATTAGCTGGGATGGCCACTGCCTACCCGACATGTCCGAACAGGGATGTCAGTGTTTTGCAGAACACCTCACCAACATCTTTAAATAGTGTAGGTGCGAGGGAATCCGGACCAGCATCACGAAAACAATTGAGAGCTGTGGTCGCGTTTCGAACCTCAGCCTCTGATGGAGCCCCTAAACTAGCCGGACGTGGCTCAGTGTACAAAACCTGAGTAGAAACAGGGAGACAACTGAACAGCTCTCGAAAGTGCTCAGCCCAAGGAGCCATACCGCACCTCATAGTGTGAGTCGGGGCACCCGCGCTGTCTCGGATTTTCTCGCTGGCGCCTGGTTTTCTGGGACCAGTGGTGCGGTATTAACCGCTATGTCGAGCGGTGCTGGAAGGGCCAAATCGCCTAGCGATCAAAGCGTAAGCCGTCAACAACTGTGTTCGGGGTTCCACTCCCAAGTCAGGCATGAAGAGTCCAAGCCAAAAGGAAACCGGTCGTAAAGTGCAGTGTGGAAAAGAAAGCAACGTCGAAACGCTAGTTGGGATGCAGTCCCAGCGGTCGAGGTGACAGTTTACTTCAAAATAAGCCGTGGCCTTGACTTAGGTTGTGTGCTTCAATCCAGATACAACGCGGGTGCTCAAAGACCGAACAAAAACAGTAGACTGTTCAGTAAACGACCAATGGCAAACCGCTTTAACCAACTTGTAGGAATCTTCGTCTATCTCAAAATGAAATGGATCCGTTTCGTGCTGATACGATGTTCCGACACAATTGTCCGCAGTATCGTTCAACGAGGCGAGTTCATCGTCTGCCATCCAATCCTGATCGTCGGGAGCTGGTTCCCAAAGTTTTGGTTTCCGGACGCACTGACACAGCTGCCGGACAGAGGAGGACAATTGTTCGATGGAGCGATGCACTGCGAGAAGGTACTTACAGTTGTTGTACATGTCAACGGCTTCGCATAAAGTCGACACTACTTCTGCATGCGCTTTGGGTAACGGCTGAATACTGTCGCCATCAGCAGACGGAGGATGCGCGGTGGTTAGCGAAGGGACAATCTGTCAACATGGCATGAGAGGAAGGAGAACAAATCGTTGGAGCGTCAATAACCTAGGGTACAACAATGGAACGAGCTGCGCGAACAATCCGCTTAAGGAATATAATGAAAAAATGTAAAAAAATGTTACAAGAGCAAGGCAACTGTAAATTGTAAAACACTATGAATTAGTGGCAAATGAGGGTAGGAACAGTGGTTGGCCCAGTGCTCAGCTTCACTGACAAGTAAGACTAGTTACGGGTTCTATTCCCATATAGGGCAGATGGAATGGTCGTCGCTGGTGTCTGGTGCTTTGCCCGATGTTGATGACCATCACGCTGAGTAAAACTATGGTGAAATTCGACAGTGTGCACCATCCAATCGGTCACCCAACTCTCAAACAACCAATACTCTGCTCCGACTGCGTGTAATGCAATGAATAGGCGAAGTCTAAGCGGAATGGTGAGCGTCAACTTATGTCGCGAGGTTAAACAAAATCACTGGCGAAAGTACCGCTGGAAAAGGGACATTATCTGACCAAATAAAAATATTTGTGGCGCCAGTTTGGATTTGCTTTGTACGATACGACTGAAATGGTATCTTCGGACTGTCTCGCAAGATTTAGAATACACTTATTATTACTATTTGATGGTTTGCGTTTTCAAAGCCGCCTCTTGGAAAGACCACGTTCCACCGCAGGGACCGTTAGGTGCAAATCAGTGGAAAGTTACCGCGTTAAAATATGACAAATCATTGTTATGAATTGCGCACTTGATGTGATTCCGGAAAAAAAAGATCGCGTTCCCTGCAAACTTTTTATCTCAGACAAAACAAAAAATCAATTAAATGGTCACCTACCGAAGTAATATGAAATTAATGCATATTTACAGTTTATCAGAAGCATGCTCAGTTTCATGATAGCCAATTCAGCCGTCAAAGTCAGTCGCACTGAAAAGACTAAACCGCTTCACGTGCAAGTGGATGCTATGTACGATGAAGTTGAAGTTTCCGGCAACGCAATGAATTTATCCGCTAAGTGCCATTGTTTCAATTGATTTTCCAGATAGAATGGTAGAACTTTCAAAATGACTCAACCTTCTGTTGGACATTTCCCAAGTGAGAATGTAGCTTCGATATGGGAAGAAGAACTTGGGCTTACTTGCAGTTACAGTGACAGTTTCCCGACAAGTACGTCACTAATGAGATCACCAGACTTACCGTTGATTTTGCTTAACGACCATGCTATACAGCACCTCTTCAAACAATTCCTTGATGCTCTGGCCGTCGCAGATAACAAGCTACGGTACCCTATCTGTCAAATCGAGCTGGATGAACAGTGGTAAGGAAGCTGCTACTCAGACATTCCCGTCTTCATAATCTCCTTACCAAAGTATTATATCTTTATTGTTCCAACTTCACTTCCATCCCTTCCTTTTCGATCCCTAATACTTCATCGCAATGAGACTGGACCTTAAAGTGGTGCGGTGCTTTGCGTGCCTCAGAGATCCATTGAGCTATGCTGGGTGGTGCTTTTATTGCACCTTCAGAGCCACTCAGACCAGATTGGTCAATGGTTAGAGGCTAGACAAACTCAGCCTCCTGGTCCTCCAGGTTGGGGGTTAGAATGAGGGTGACTCCTCATTTCATAAAACGGGCTCTCTGTAGTCCAGTGCCAAAACCCGCTGCCTTGCGGTAAGGTTTTTGAACCAAAGGTTTTGGTTGAGAACCCTAATCGTTCTCCTGTCTAGGCCTGGGCAACCTGACAGTATTCTGCCCATGCAATACAACGAACCCTTCATCGAACAATTTCTTGGTGGTAAGAAGACAGAGGTTGCGATATGTTAACATTTCGATTGCTCTCGTCAGTCGCAACGCAATACAGGCAGAAAAAACACGCAATATATAGGGTCCACACTTAGTAACATAGATAAGCAGATAAAAATGATGGGAATGACGTAATCAGGACCAAGGCAATCTAATTGATTGTCTCAGTTGTTTCTGGGCACAGAGTACGGGACGCTTCAATCTTATCAGTAGCGCCTCGCCAATTGCCAACAGTGTCGGGTTCCTGTTGCGCAATAGCACCTTGAATGAGTCGATCGGGTTCACCTGGTGACGAGTCAGCAAGAGGTGTTTGGAGATAGACGAGGCAGGGTTCAAATTCATTCTTTGTTTCGCTCCGCCTTGGTTAGACAACAACTGCCTTAGCCACAATGGGAAATGCTCCGCCACCCTTTGAGCTAGCCGGCGACCAGTCTTGCCTATGTAAGTGTCACCGCAACTGCAAGTGAACTGGTAGATGATGTTAGAGGCCGAACTGATTGGCGCGCTGCTCGAACGGATGTGGAGAGGAATCCTTCGTGTGGTGTGAATAAGTCGTAGTTGGGCGGTAGGGTAGGTGCGCATTAGAGCGGACCTGAGCTTGTGACCAACTTCATTTGCTAAGTGATCCCCCTTGAAGGGTAAGAACAGATAAACATTCTTCTTCTCCGCAGTTTGCACGGGGAGCGTCTCCTTGGGGGGTCTGCTATGGGTCTGAATGAATTTCTCCGGATACCCATTAGCTAGCAAAGTCCGGTATAAAAACTCTTCTTCAGCCTTGAGTAATTCCGGACTGCATATCCGCCTGGCCCTGTAGAAGAGAGTTTTTACAAGACCGCGCTTGTATGCAACTGGGGCGAAGCTGGAAAAATGTAGGTATTGTCCACCCCAGGTCGCTTTTCTGTACACCGTGCGCTGCAATGTGCCATCGGTCCTTCTCTTGATGAGCACGTCAAGAAACGGCAGTCTGTCTTCTTGTTCCTTCTCCCGTGATACAGAAAGGTTCGGGTGAATTGAGTTCAGGAGGGCAGCAAGACGATCAAAATGTTCACCATCAGTGAAGACGAGAATATCATCTACGTAACGCTTGTACAGCTTGGCTTCACCTATGCAGGCAGCAACTTTCCTTTCAATCAGACCTAGGAAGATGTCTGCCAGAACTGGTCCCAAAGGACTGCCCATAGCGACGCCGTCAATCTGTTTGTATGCCGTCCCTTCAAACTCAAATCGCACATTCTCAGTACACACCAATATCAAGTCTCTCAGGAACTCTAGAGGGATGCCCACAGAGAGGTTCCGACTCAAAAGAAATTGGCATAGGTCCTCAACCGTTTCACGTAGGGGCACATTCGTGAACAGTGATTCCACGTCTATTGAATACATGAGCTCCGCGTCAAGTGTCGTTCGCTCCAGTATATTCACTAATTCAAAGGAGTCTTTCAAACAATGCGTGCCCAGGAGCTTACGCACGGGTTCTAGGAGCTTTGCCAACCACCGGGCTACTTTGTGGTAGGGTGAGTTATTCATACACATAATTGGGCGTAGTGGAATTCCCGCCTTGTGCAGCTTCGGCGCGCCCCTCATTCTTGGTGTTTCTGTCCCTGTCGGTTTTAGCTGCCGATATTGTGACTCGGAGATATACCCATGAAGCAAAAGAATTTGTAGATGTCTCGTAATTTGTTTCTCCACCAAGATATTGTTGTCCAGCGTCTTGTCAATACGAAACTTGCGTCCATCTCCGAGAATCGACTCCATTTTTGCGGTGTAATCCGCTTTTTCCATTATTACTACACCCGTGCCTTTATCCGGTTGCAAGAAAATTACATCTTCCATTTTCTGCAGCTCCTTGATTGCAACATAGTGTTCCGATTTCAAGCAACACCTCTGACTAATAGGCGCGTTCTGGAACTGGTGCGCGATATCCACTAATTTTGCCCGAAACCATCCTGCATCATCCGTTGATTTCGGCGATAGGTCGCTGAGTTGATCGTACAGATATTCGAAATTTATCTGTGTGTGGATCCTGTCCGCATTCCTTGGCGGTATTCGGTATTTCAATCCCAGCGAAAGAACCTCCAACTGTTCTCGCGTGAACCGAGCTGTAGACAGATTGTACACATGCTTCTGGCCCTCGGTGGGGAAAGGAATGTTGGCCGCTCTCACAAGGGTACCTTGAAGGCCGTGCAGGGTCTTGGTCCTAGTACGCTGGAGAGTTTCAGCAGAAAATGCCTCAAATTTGAAACGGCAGACAAGTGACAAGCCATTCAAAACAACGGCGAATCGCTTTTGTGTCTCCAAGAACTTTTGTTCTCGTTCAATGCAAGCCTCGATATGTGCGGACGCAATCCTGGCTAGATTCACACTGTTAGCGGGCAGCTTATTTTTCCACAGAGTTTTAACAAACCGACATGGAAATCGACCTGACTGGATACATTCTTGATAAAATTTAACCCTTACGCGTTCCACCATGATCTTGCAGCGCAACGACAACAATCGATCCAATGACCTCACAACGTCAGCGGGGAGTCTTCTTTTAAGAAACTTGAAACACTGAGTCCCCTTCAGCCACTTCATTAACGCAGTAAGAAGACAGAGGTTGCGATATGTTAACATTTAGGCAATTGGCGAGGCGCTACTGATAAGATTGAAGCGTCCCGTACTCTGTGCCCAGAAACAACTGAGACAATCAATTAGATTGCCTTGGTCCTGATTACGTCATTCCCATCATTTTTATCTGCTTATCTATGTTACTAAGTGTGGACCCTATATATTGCGTGTTTTTTCTGCCTGTATTGCGTTGCGACTGACGAGAGCAATCGAAATTTCTTGGTGCTCTGACCGTCGCAGAGGATAATAAACGGCGCCCTATCTGCTGCAACGAGCTGGGTGGATAGGGGTTTGGATGCTACTGCTCAGGCGTTCCCGTCTTCTTATACCCGTTCTTGCGCTTCTTCATGCTAATCGTCCCACTTAAACTTTACTTTTATCCCCCCATTTTCAATCCCCCAATTCTTGGCCCTCCTCACCTTGCTTCAATGGTCTCTTGTCTTCTATTTTCAAATCACACACAGTCGCAGGGCATCGCTCCAATCCAGTCATTAAGTCCATGTTCAACCAAGCAGACAACGTCAGTTCATCCGTTTCCCTTTGGAGTCCTCGCATCTCGCTAAGACTGGCATGTCTCAACGTGCGTACTTTGCT